GATGGTCTCGATCTCCTGACCTCGTGATCCGCCCGTCTCGGCCTCCCAAAGTGCTGGGATTACAGGCTTGAGCCACCGCGCCTGGCCCTCCACCTCATTTTCTAACTGGATTTTTCTTTACTGTTGAGATTTAAAAGATCTTTATATATTCTAGAGACGTCTTTTGTCAAATATGTTGTTTTATAAAGATTTTCTCCTAGTCTGTAGCTTGTCTTTCATCCTTTTATAGGATGTTCAAAGCAAAACCTAAATTTTCATTTAAATGTATCACTTTTCCCTTTTACGGACAGTGCTTTTGTGTCAAGGCTTGAAAACTCTTTGTTTAATGTTTAAATGAAAAATCTTAAGACGTTTCCAAAAACACTAGTAGAACACTTTGGCCACCGAAGCAAGTAAGCTTAATTTATTCCATCTGCTGGGAACATACTTTAGATTCAGCTATTGTTTCATAAAACTAGTGTGTTTTATATTACAGTACCTGGTACACGGCTACAGTTTTCAAAAGAAAGCTAAGAAATCTGCTTGTCTGTATGTTTACATATGCCTGTGCATGTAAGTATGTTACGTATATGTGTTCTTTTTCTTTCTTTTTTTTTTTGAGATGGAGTTTTGCTCTTGTTGCCCAGGCTGGAGTGCAATGGCACAATTTCGGCTCACCGCAATCTCCACTTCCCGGGTTCAAGCGATTCTCCTGCTTCAGGCTCTCGAGTAGTTGGCATTACAGACATGTGCCACCATGCCCAGCTAATTTTGTATTTTTGTTGTTGTTGTTGTTAGTAGAGACGGAGTTTTCCATGTTGGTGAGGCTGGTCTTGAACTTCTGACCTCAGGTGACCCGCCTGCATCGGCCTCCAAAAATGCTGGGATTACAGGCTTGAGCTACCGCACCCAGCCATGGTTATTTTCTACCTCCAGATGGTACGGTCAAAAATTAATTCATAAAAGATTTCTATTTAATAGATTTAAAGAAAAATAAGCATTTCACATAAATTAAGTATTCTCTCAGCAATACAGAAACCAACACAAATGCTTTTCAAGTTCATGTGACTTGAGTAAGAATACATAATGCAGATATACAACTTTTAAATCCTACCAAGATTTACTATCAAATAAGTTTATGTTACCTCCACTAGATATTTATAATTATAGAACTGAGTTCACATGAACAAATGTGCAAGTGGGTGCCAGTATCCATTACTTTACGTTTACTGAGCATAGCAGTAAAACAAAAAAACCTCATCTATTAAACTTTTTAGAATTCTTGTTTTTGTGAAGACTGCCGAACATACACACGCTGTAAAAGTAGCTAACAGAGAAATAACTTGATGGTAGCTAGCTTTGTTTGTGTTATGTCTACTCAAAAATAGCTCCCCACTGGTAATTTACATCCTTAGGGTTTTGCTAATTTAAATGATGAATATTCATTGGATGTGTGTTCGTTAAGAGAAGAAGACTAATTTTTGCCCTAAAGTAGAATGACTTGTTTCACAGTAAGAGAAAGGAAGAATTTAATCCAAAACAGAACGGATATAAGAAAGCTGTAGTAGGTTTGTGGAAGAGGAATCTTGGAAAAGGAATTTTACGTGTGGTCAAGCTGGCTAAGATCTGAATGAATTTATTCATAAGTTACCAAATAATAAGCCTTAATAACACCAGCACTTTGGGAGGCTGAGGTAGAAGGACTGCTTGAGGCCAGGAGTTCAGCCTGGGGAGTGTAGCGAGACACTGTCTCTACAGAAAAGAAAACAGAGAAACAGAGTCCTCTCTATTAAAACTGCTCAGGTCTTTTATAACTGTGTAACTTTCTATATTTGCCTTTGAATACTTTTAATTATCACTCTGGTTAAATGAGTAACTATAGTTTCAGAGACCTGCAATCCTATTAATCAAGTGTTTTAAGTCTTTGACATTTTTTACTAGCTTCCCAAAATCAAACTCTAAACTTAAGTCTTTCTGACCTCGAGCTAACTTTGGGAGCTTCCAGAGGTACCCTGAAATATCTCAAGAGAATTCTCTTTCATTATGAAGAGAAATAGTAAACAAGTCAGACTTATTTGACTATGTTAGATCTGCATGGGAAGCACTGTCAAATAAGAAATGATGTTTAACCTTCTTTGAGTTAATTTGTACAAATAATGTGTTCCAGAAATTGTGTGCAATTCCTAGAAATCTGATAGACCTGGTCTAATGTTATCAGTACAATTCTAGTCACCTTAAAATGCTATAACCACAGAAATAACTAAACTTCCTTGTCAATTGCAACATTATTATAATGAACTCTCATCGGATATTTAACCATGGCCATTTAAAGTCTTGTCATCCAACGATAGCTAATTGTTTTACTCTGGTACTTTCCTGAAAGCTATTGTAAGCAACTGTGAATCTAAAGTGTTTCATCTCTGAGGAGATGCAATGGAAAGGACTCTGACAAGTACAGGTTTCTGGTGTTACGGTCACACCACTGGACTGGGTAACAATTCCCAGAACTCTAGTGAAGTAATTAACTAACTCATGATGCCGTCACAATGGCAATGACATTTTAACCTGAGTTTGGGAGGAGACACTCAAACCACAGCAGTACAGAAGAGACGTTTTTACCATACTGAATCTTCTAATCCATAAACATGTCTCTCCACTTATTTAGATTTTGTCTGATTGTTTTCATCACTATTTTGTGGTTTTCAGTATACAAGTTCTAACATGTTTTATTAGGTTTACATCTGAATATCTTTTTTTTTTGGAGAGAAGGTCTCACTCTGTGGCCCAGGCTAGAATATAGTGGCATGATCATGGCTCACTGCAGCCTCTATCTCCTAGGCTCAAGTAATCCTCCCACCTCAGCCTCCCAAGTAGCTGGGACTAAAGGCGAACACCACCACACTTGCCTAGTTTATTTCTTGTAGAGATGGGGTCTCACTTTGTTGCCCAGGCTGGTCTCGAACTCCTGGACTAAAGTAATCCTCCCGCTTAAGCCTCCCAAAGTGCTGGGAATACACGCGTGAACCACCACGCCTGGCCTAGCATCTTTTTTTAAGTGACTGTAAATGATATCACACTTTTAATGCCATTGCCCA